AAGCAAAAAGGAGAGTTTTAGATTACCTCAGAATTTAAGATTTAGATGTAACTTTACCAGTTGACAGTCAGTCTTCCTAGCTAGTTCAGTGGTTTTCTCTGGGGTGTCTTTGGTGGGGTCACTCCTGGAACAGTTATGAGGGAAGAAATTCTCTTCTTCACCCCCCATTTGGTCCTTTATTTTTTTAACTTTTCTTTAGATAGAAATCGCCTCCTTTAATTTCTACCTCTGACCTTTAGTTCTATATTTAGCACTAGAAAAACCAAACCCATACAGTCTTTCACAAGCTTTCATTCAAAGTGAGTTCCCCCCTGGTGAATATATGACAAAAGTTGGTCAAGTTGCTTTAATGCCAACCCAAAGGGAAAACTGTCTTGAATAATCACAAGTCGTGGAAAGTTCAGGGGCTGTGCACACCCTTTCATGGTTTTGAACTGCGTGGTTGAAGACATCGAGAGTTGACAGATTAGTCAGGGATTTGTCAAGAGTATTAATTACAGACTTTGAAATCTTGGTCAGTGAAAGTTCATCTTAGTGAATCTTACAAATGTGATCAAAGTCTCAGTACTCATTTGATGGTGCCTGACCACATTGTGTGAAGAACAAAGCTTTTCATTACAAATTACTGATGCAATAGGGCCCATTTTTGAAGGAAGATGTACCCTTGGACATGTTTTCCCCCATGCTTCCTTCCCTTCCCCTCTCTGTTTAGGGGAGTCCCTATGTCTCTGAATACCTTAAATGTTTTGGGGACCACTGCAGGGAAAAAGTATGGTCTTGACATCAGTGCCACTCCGATGGACCCGAGGACAAAGGTGGGGCTGGCAGAAGTCAAGTTTTTAAAATCATAAAAATAAACCACGAAAACCTGGGGACTTACTGTGATTTAGTCAATGAAAGAAACGTATGACTTTATGAAACCTTGAAATAACTGTCTTAGTACAGTATAGCGGATTAGGAAAGGAAAATAGCACCCTCCGCCCTTGTTCAGTTCTAGAAAAACAATCCTTTACTTTGGATGACTTTTTTTCTGTAAGTTAAAAAGTGCTGGCATCTAAACTATGGAAAGTGAAATAAAAATACATCTGGCGCAGCTTCTCCAAAGCCCTGGCCTTGCATCATCCTCTCCTTTCTATCCACACCCACACTGGCTGGCAGAACTGAGTGGTCGGAGCGTCGGTTTTGCGCGGGTGGAAAGCGCACAGAGGGGCCAGTGTCTAGCCTTGGTCCACCCGCGGTCCATTGGAGTTTCAGGAACCAACGCCGGCTGTCAGCTAGGTTCTGATGGCATGTTCTAGTGGGGTTAGGGCAGGTCTTCCCCCTGGTTCACCTGTTCTGAGGCTCTGCCTGTCAGTTGCTGCCGCGCGCCAGAGGGTGGCACTCCAGGCACTGCGGAGATGGAGAGGAAGAGAAGAAAAGGGAGTTGAGGGGAAGGAGGGAAAGGGAAGGAGGAACTTGCATTTCTCAGACCTCAGTCTCTAGTTTCCCGGATAATCTGGGGCGGGGGGGGCATCACCCCATGCCCCTCAGAAAAAGCCCAAGCTTCGGCAGAACTAGGGGGTCAAGAAAGTTAGAAATTTCTAAAACGCCAGACGTCTTTACAATCAATCTCTTCTAGTCTCCCGGGTCACTTTGGGGTGCGTTGGAGCTAGGTGGATGATAGCAGGCCGCTGACAGGTCCCTGTGAGTGCGCCCACTTCTGATTTGACCCTCTTTGTCGTGTTTTGCAGTTGATGGATTTGTGCGAGCCAGTAAAGGATGATGCCCTGAAGGTAATCTCTGCCTTCAACATCCCACACATCAACCTCCACGCACCGATCGCAGGAATCCCCAACCCACGGGCCACCTGGGCCTTCTACCCTGTAGCCATGCTGGCGCAGGCCGGGGAGCCCGCGCGCTCTCCGAGGTCCAGGCTGTGACCCAAGCTGCAAAACGGGGCGTGGCGGGAAGTGTTGCTGCTGCCACGAAGTTCTCTCCAGTGACGCCCAGTCCTGGGGAAGAGGCCAAACTGGCACGTGCGGGGCCTGCGCCCGCGGGGATTTTGGTCACGCAGAGGAGGAGATCTCGCAGAGGCTAGCAAAGCGCCGGACAGGGTGTCGGGAGAGGGGTCCCAGACAGATGCCAGGGAGCTCAGTGACAAGTCCTGTTCCTGTAACCTCCCCTGGCCCCGTCTCGGTCTCTCCCAGCCCCGGTGCCAGTTTCTCAATCCGGGTGGGCTCCCCCACAGCCCCTTGCTGCCAAAGATCTCCTGCTGTCCGCGGTGACTCAGAGTCCCAGTGATTTCTAAAAACTCTGGTGCTGGGTGAAACAAAAAATCAAAATCAAAACATAAAAATCAAACACCTTCAGGCAAAAAGGGTGGGGGAAGGCTCCAGCGGGCGAAGCTTAGGGAATCAGACCCTTTCCATCTCCGCGGGGAAATGCACAGGTTTGGGGAGGGAGCGTGGCCCGGAGTTCTGCTCTCTGCAAAGCTAGGATGCGCACGGGTCCCATCAGGTTGGCGGTTTCCAGACCGCAAAACAGCGCACAACATTTGTACTGCACGACTTTGTAACCTATCCTTTTAAGAACACAGTTTAATAAAGAAACTAAGTGATGGGAAGCCGCTCCCGCTGGTTGGAGTTGGTAGGGGAGCCTGGCCTGGGGAATACGCTGCAATAAATTGGTGTCTGATTTTGAAGAGACCACAACAGGCGGAAAATGAATTCTTATTTAAGTCCCTACTCTCATTCCCAGTCCAAGTCATCTTCCCTCTTTCCTCCCTCCACATCCAGTTTTCTGCCCGGTAGAAGACACACCGGGCTGTCTGCCACAGTGATAGGGACGGGTGACCCACGGGTCCTTCCCATGCTGCAATCTAAGTCAGTCCCAGGAGGACCTGGGACACTGCTGGAGAAGGCAGCAGGGACCCTGAGCACCTGACATGAGGCACTTGCTCGAAGCTTCCACCAGACAGCCTGGTTCACGGGAGATGCAAGAGCCTTGCCTTCAGGCGGGCTTCCTGATTAAGCCCTAAATAGTAGTGCAAAGCGGGTTGCTTTCCCCTCTGTCTTTGTTTTCTAGCGTTCACCCGGTTGCAAAAGCAGGAGACGCGGGGGCGGCCTGTCCCTACAGACAGGCGATCTCTCTTCTCTCTCTCTCTCCTCTCTCTCTCTCTCTCTCTCTCTCTCTCTCTCTCTCTCTCTCTCTCTCTCGTTTCTTCTTTCTCACCGCTCTTTCTCTCTCTCTCTCTCTCTCTCTCTCTCTCTCTCTCTCTCTCGGTTTTCTTCTGGTCCAGGTCTGGGACGTCTGACCCCTGTGAGCGCACAGAACAGGCGGACCTGTGGCTTGCTGGGGGCTCCCCGCACAGCGACACGTTGGGTTGCTCGGGTGGGACGTGGAGTGGCCAAGGCTCAGGGTCCGTGGGTCAGGACAGGCACAGTGCTGGCCGGACCCCTGGGTCAGGGTCGACCTGGAGATCCCAGCCAGGGTCCGGATTAGACCCGAATCTGCCAGTCTATGTCTCTGCGTCCACGCCCATGCCCTTTCCCTCTTGTAGTGAAATCCCGGGTACCTACTGCAGGGCCTGCTTGCGCGCCCTCCAGCCTCCCTGGGAACTTCTTCCTTTGCCTCACTCAGGATTCAACTGAGAACCGCGACTTTACCCTAGGGCTATGCTGTGTCACGCTGACGTTAGATTTGCTTATAAACAGCGAAAATGGCCAAGATGGCCCGACGTCGGGACAAGAGGCCTCCCCACTTCCTTCTCCACCAGCCTGAGTGTGGGTTGGGCAGCTCTTAAACTGAATTTCCTTAATCTTCACTTAAGTAGGATGCCTGATGTTCCATTTCCAGACCATTTTCTCCCTTGCCCGCCGCCAAGGTGGTAGAGGTAGAGCCGAAGCTCGGGGCGAGAAAGAGGAGTACGGATCCGGACCTGGGGCATCAGGTGGGGGAGCAGGCTGGGGTGTCCGCACGCCCAGAGGAGGAAGACGGTGCTGGGAGTATGGGCTCCTTGGGAGAGAGAAGGGTGGCACCTCTGACTAGGAAAAGGTTGGGGGTGCTATGACCCCCTATAGTTTTGCAAGTGCGGCTTCAACTCCGCTCCACTGCCGGCATCATCTGCCCACCGGGCAGTTCCTGGAGGATCTCTGCGAGCCCAATAAACCTCGAGGCTCCCGAGCCTGTGCGTAGCGCAATCTTCTCTACTCTGTGCCCTTTCCCCCGCCACGTTAAAATGATTTCTTTTGAGCTCTTTTCTCATTCTTCCATTTGATCTGCTCTTTGTGCACAACCATGGCGCCCCGTATCTGAGCCTCTGGGTAGACCTAAGGTCGCTCCTAGTTCTTTTCTTAACTGTCCTTCCCACCAGCTCTACCTAGGAAAGAACTGGACACTGGGGGGTGCGGGTGGGGGATGGGATACGGGAGTGCCTAGAGGGTGACCGGGAGGCCTCTAAGAGTCCCTTATAGGGGGTAGGCGAGGAGGGGGTGCACATCTTGACATAAGTCCCACCGACGCCTCGACTCTGATGGTGAACAGAGTCAAGGACGGGTGCCAGTCCTCGCCCCAGCGAGTTTGGAGAACCGACCCCGTCCCCAAGGTTTGCTGCTGAGAACCTCCGCAAAGCAAAGGGCACAGGGGCGCCTCCAGAGGCTTCCCACTGGCGCCCGGGGCCAGGCTGGGCACGGCGTGCCCCGAGCGCCCCCTTAGTTCCGCTCCCCGCGGTAGCCGCCACCAGGGGAGGGGGAGGGGCGAGCACTTGCGGTGGGAGGATGGGCGCGTACCGAGCTGCCGGCAGGCCGAGTCTCTCGGGTAAACACGCCAGGGTGGGCGGCGCGCGCGCGGCAGGGAAGCCGGCGGGGCCACCGCCGCTTGTACCTGTCCCAGCCTGCACGCGCCGGCAGTCCTGGGCGGAGGGGACCGGACCTACCAGCCCGCCTGCCGGGGCGGGGCCTAGAGGGGGCGGGGCCCGCGGTGATTGGACGCGGGAGCTGGGCCGGCAGTCTGAGCCGGGTCGCTGAGCCGCGCAGGTTTCACTTCGCTCGGTGCAGAGGCTGGGTCACCAGCTTCAGCTTGTTGGAGCTCTGCAGTTCTCGCCGTCGTCGCCGCCGCCACCCGGATTCTTGAAGCCGCTGGTGCGAGCTTTTCCCCACTACGATCAGCGCCGCCTCGGGCTGCTCCCTCCCCCCTCCCCCGCCACCGCTTCGGCGTCCTTCCCCCTGCCGCTCGTCCCCCCAATGTCTGACTCTGACTCTCGGACTGAGAAACGCAAGGTAAATAAATCCCGGGGCGCAGGCCGGGGACGGATGGAAGACCGGCGCGGGAGCCCGAGCCGCTCCCTCTACCGCACGTGCGAGGGAGACGCGAGTTTGGCGCGCAGCTGCAGGCGGTGCACAGTGAGGCTGGCTCGGGTCGACTCCCCGGCGGGTCTCTGCTGGCGAAGCGTCGCCGGCGCTCGCCTGGCCGGAGCTGGGGCCGGGAGGCAGCTCGCGGGAGGTGAGGCAGCTCCGGCCGGCCGGGAGGGCGCAGGGTCTCGGCTGCGGCCTGGGAGCTGGAGTAGCGCTCGGAGGTGCCGGGCAGTGCGCCCAGTCTGGAACCGCGACCCTGGCAGCCCGGGAGAAACGCGGGAACACGGGTCTGCCCACTGGGATCCGTTGCCGAGGTTTGCGGAACTGCGGTGGTGATTTAACACGCGCGCCCTGGCCTTTCCTTCTTATTCAAGCCACAGTTTTCAGGCAGTTGCTGATTTCGCCTTCCCAGGCTCAGCGTCCGGGCGTCCTGCGGACATGCACGGGACCCACTGGGAACGAGAGAACCCAAAGGCCTCCCTAGGGCCACGCGGGTTCGGAGCTCCGGCCACCAGAACCTGTTGGGTCTTCTGGCCCCCAGGGGTCGGCTTGCGGGTGCGGGATCGCAGCGGGACCCAGGCTCAGTCTAGACCTGTAGTGCCCTGCGCTCCGCGGCCTGTGGCCCCGGCGGGCTGGCGCTGCGATCGGGCTGGTGGGGATAGGGGAGCGTGGATGTGCGCGGTCACGACCCGAGACGGTCGCTTAGATTTGCTGCGTGTCACACGGTGGCGCTTGGGGACACGGGATGAAGTTGCTGAAAGTTTGGATCGGGGCTGTGGAGGCCTTGGAGGGTCTTCACCCGGAGTGGCCTGGAAACGGGCGTCAGTGTGAGTCCCGCCGATGCGCAAGAGCGGGTCCGGCTTTGTCTTCAGGTCCCGCTGCCGAGGCGCGCGGGGCGTCCGGACCCGACCCAGGGGCGGGGCGCGGAGTGGGAGCTGCTCGGCCCCCAGAGTCCCAGCCGTGGCTGTGGCGGCCGGCAGAGCCGGAGCGGCGCTGGGAGGCGAGTTTGTCAACAATCGCCTCGCCTTCGGCGGCCTGACCCATAGGCGCCGCCCCCACCGTCTCTGCCCATTGGCTGCGGTGTGCGGAGAGCGGGCGCCGGCCAATGGGAGGCGCGGGCACCCGGCGCCTAGGGCGCGGGGAGGCTGGCGGTGCCGGCTGCGGCGGGCGCAGAGCGCGAGGGGTGGAGCGGGAGGAGGCGGAGGATGATCCCCGCCGCGGCCGGCGCGGCGCGGGCTAGAGGCGCGGCGCGCGAAGCCCTGGGCTCCCGAGCGGAGCGTGGAGGCAGGCGGGCGGGCGGGCTCGGGCTTTGCGCTGCCCGCGGGCCTCAGAACCCGGCGGCCGGCCTTTGTCTGCCGCGCCGCCTCGGGGGTGACGGGCAGGGATCGCTGGAGCAGCGCTGGGCACGGATCGGACGCCGCGGGGACGGGTCACCGCGCTCAGAAGGGAAGGGGCGGACGTGAGTCTTGGCGAGATCGCCCGGGCAGGAAAAGGGTCTTCGGGATGGAAGCAGCCGCGTGCACGGTGCCACCGAGCGTGCGGAGCCAGTTGTGGAATTTCCACTCTGAAGGTCCCCCATTTTGGAGGTGTGCACTCCCGGCTCGGTTGCACCCGGGAGAAGTTGTGTCTGGATCGAGATTGCGCGGGAGCGGGGAGCGGGAGAGACCGGGAGCGCCTGAGCCTGGCGCGGGCGGAGCTGAGCTTGGAGTTACAAACTCTATTGTGACGCACTTACTACGACTGACGGCCGCTGCCAAACCTTCCCCAGACTTGCTGCCCTCAGCATTTTCGGCAAACAATGAGGCCGGAGCGGGGAAGGCCGCCAGCCGCCTGCAAGCGCTGCCTCTGCGCCCGCGGGGGCTCCAGTGCAGGGTCTGATCCCGGGAAACAGCCCGCTGGGACTTGCGGACTCGATTCAAGTTGTCCCAATCCAAAAGCACGACATGTAGGAGGCGTCACTAGAGCGACTCCTGAAACTTCTGTGCATGTGGATGTGCCAAAGAGCGCCAGTTCCACAAGTAACGGAGTTGTTACTCTGTTTTGTTTGGTGGCCTGATTTAGCTCCACCCTGAACTAAAATAAACATACCTTTGTTATTTTAGGTGCACTTTTATTCTTACTTGGAGGATAGAAAAGTAAACAAAGAGTTTGAGATTGGCTCAAGAATTCTTAATGAGTAGGTGGAATGGTTTGTTTGTTAGAACTGTTATTTTGGTGAAGGTAATCCTTGTTTTTTGGTTTCCTTGCAGAAAAAAAGACCAAATGGCCAAGCAACCTTCCGATGTAAGTTCTGAGTGTGACAGAGAGGGTGGACAATTGCAGCCTGCTGAGAGGCCTGCCCAGCTCAGGCCTGGGGCACCTACCTCCCTCCAGACAGAACAGCAAGGTAATCCCGAAGGCGAAGGGGACCGCTGCCCCCACGGCAGCCCTCAGGGCCCGCTGGCCCCACCGGCCAGCCCTGGGCCTTTTGCTACCAGATCCCCGCTTTTCATCTTTGTGAGAAGATCTTCTCTGCTGTCCCGATCCTCCAGTGGGTATTTCTCTTTTGACACAGACAGGAGCCCGGCACCCATGAGTTGTGACAAATCAACACAAACCCCAAGTCCTCCTTGCCAGGCCTTCAACCATTATCTCAGTGCGATGGGTAAGCCATGGGGGGTAAGAGGCCGTTAGTATATGCTTGTTCATATCAGTTCCAAGGCTGTATGTAGTATGGAAAGCTTCTTTGAGTCCTTCAAGTGGTTTAGTCTGTACTTGGATGGGACTGGAAGGTATGTCCAGATCTGAACTTGGTTTTTGACTGTTATAAAATGTTATAAAGTTTGTGCCATGAATTTATTGAGGTGCAAACATGAACCAATCTTTAGAGCTAAAAAACTTGAATCTCTGCAGCCTTCAAGCTAAATAAAGCATGTAACCATGGTATATTTGTTGTAACTGCTAAGCCTTACATATTAATGTCATTGTGTATGAAAAGGGCCTGGCCAGTTAAACAAAATAGTTTAGTAACAGCTGAGAGTATAAAGAGAGAGATGGGAAAAATTGATCATTTCCAAAAATGGCATTTGCAAAGATGAAGTGTTTTGTATAAGCACAACCAACATAGAAACATATGGATTATGCCCAAATTCTCCTTTAAGCTTATTGCCTAGAGGGGTTGGAACCTAGTACTAATGAGATTAGATTGTAGGTTTTTATTTCAGGGGTTAAGCTGGTGTGAGGATCATAATCAGGAGTGCAGACATAAATGCCCATGGCAACACAAAGTAAAATTGGTGAGGGGACAGACCCAGTGGGGACAGTGGCACTTTGATAAGCATTTGCCCTTTAGACATTAGGGTTGGTTCTGATTGTGGCCTTGGGGGCATTCGGTCTTAGAGTGGCAGGTAATTCCTATATTGTATTAACCAAGCATGCAGATTTTTAAGCTAAATGTTCTGACATTTAGACACTGGCAACTACTTTAGATCTCTGTCATTCTGGAAGCCAGATTAAAACATCTGTAGACGTGATTTGACTTTTCCACCCCTTAGCTTGTCATTTGGAGTATGTACATTTCTGGTCAACTTGGCAGAGAGCTGGATATGTGTGTTGTTTCTCCACCAACAGCAAAAGTACAGTATCTTGATCCTTCTCCATAATCTTATTTGATGTGTCCAGGTAGCCTGACCTGCAGAAGGAACTGGCTCACGGGGTCAGTTAGGAAATCCAGTATAGATCCCATATGTTGGCTGGGCTCTTCTATGTGCTGGGAGGGACTATGAGGGTCCCTCCCAACTGAAAGGAGGTAGAAGTGCTGATCCCACTGTAGCCTTAGAAGTTTGGTGCTTGTCACTGTTGTAACCATGAAATAGTCCAGTGTGGGTATGAACCTTCAGCGCTTACTGAATTAACAGGGTTCTGTGTTATGTATGTTTAAAATGCTGCATATTTTAAGGACCCTCTGGAAGCTATTACAGTTTTACTCCCACAGGCCTAGTCAGTAGTCTCTGCAGATGGCAGATTAATCCATGGAAGTATTTTCTCCTCTGTTAAGTAGAAATAGTGGATGAGTAGGTTTGTTTTCTAATGTGAATATACTCTTTTTTGGTGGGGGGGATCATACACTATTTAGGAAGCTAATTACAATATAATCATCATTACTTGAGATGACAGATATGGAGCTTTAAAGATCACAATCTAAATTATTAGGCAGAGTTAATGGTTATACCTGTGAAGCAAAGTATTAGATCCTGAGGTGTTTCAGCATTAACTGCATTCCAATAGATTGGGGTGGAAGCAATGTTTAATGCATGGGATTAAATGATAGGTTATAGAGTTTGTATAACCAGTTTGGTTTTCAGCATTAAGTTTTGGGGAGAGGGTAAGTTGGAATGGGGTAGGGTGAGGATTACCAGTAAGAGGTGAGATTAAAAAATTAAGTTTGTCATTTTTGAAGGGTGCAGCTGATGTTTTTCTGGCTGTCCTCACAGTCTAACCCCATGCCCGAAGAACACTGTGCTGAGTTGATAAATGATCTCTTATCTTTTTGGCCTAGTTTAATATTTTTTTACTCAACCATTAAGATATTCACTGCTGCTTTTGATAAGTTTTTGCAAAATACATTTTTTCACAGAGGAGTCTTTATGATTGGCGTGAACCACTGGATCGCCAGTGTGAGGTTACAAAGAGGTCCTGCTTAGCCAGGGGCTCCTTCAGCCATAAAGTAGTTTGTGCAGTCAACTTATAGTAGCATACAGTGTGTCTTAAAGTTTTGTCCTTGTATCTCTTTTACCCCCCAATGCTGGGATTGAACCTATGGCTTTCTCCATATAAGGCAAGTGCTCTAAACTATTGAGCTGTGACTCCAGCCCTTTGTGTCTTTTCTTCTAATGGGATAGAGAAAGCACAGCAAAGACTTGGATACTGAAGACACGTCTTCGTGGTTTCCTCCATTTCTGTTTTTCTGAAGATGTCTTGAAAGACCGTTTTGTTTACCATGTGGAGGTTTATGTAATTTTTACCCTTCTGCTCAATTTTAGTTTCCATATTCTCTGGGGGGATTAACTTAACAAATGATCTCTTAATGAAAACGAACACCTTTCACATACCTGTTCACAGAGTACCTTCTCTGGTGTTTTTAATGCCATATGTGTGATACGTTACATTCTGTACACATCTTTACTTTGAAGTATAGTCCATGTAAACTGGAAATACAAGGGAGAAAAGTCATGATATAGATGAATGTTGGTTGTCAATAACTCCCCCATGTAGTGTTAGTGGAGGTCTTAAACTTTCCCTGGCACATCAGAATTCTCAGGCAGGAGCTTGTTTCATTATGCTTTGAGCTCCCCAGCATCCTATGGTGATTGACCCCTCCTTTTAGATTGAGAATACCCTCTGGGAGGTGGGATGCCCTGCAGATGCCAGTGGATCCCCAACAGGAGACACCCAGATGTTGGGATCAGTGGAGCTCTGCCTCTTTGCCTTTTCATGGAGTTGTGTTTTGTTCTTCCTTTGTTGTGAGGAACCCAGGACCTTGTATGTACCAGGTGGGGTCTGTCACTGAATGCTTTTCGGGGGAGTTTTGAAACAGAGAAAATAAGATTTCAACAAAAACAGGTAGCAAGAAAAAGGCCTGACCCCTGATACCCCATGTATTTTAAATGACCAGGATCTTGCTGTAAGCCACATGGGCTAGGGGTGATTGGTAAGGTCTAGCTCAGCACTGCCCAGTAGGAAGCACTTGACCCAAGATTTCAGATCCAGATGAGCTGCCTGTGTTAGTACACACTGGATTTTGCAGACTTTTTACTACATAGGAAAAGTAGAGTGTCAGTTATTTTCATATGGATTTCATTTTGAAATAATTTTTAATATATGGATTAAATAAAAATTTGTGGCAGTGTAAAAAAAAACAAATTTGTCATCTTAAATTACCTTAATCATCTGCTTGTACTGCACAATTCAATAGCATTAAGTACATTGACTTTACTGGGCAGCCAGTTACCAGAGCACTTTCATCTAGTAAAACTGAAACTCTACACCTATATACACATGAATTTTTTTTTTTTTTGTCTTTTTGAGTCAGGGTCTCCTTGTAGCCCCAGCTGTCCTGGAACTCACTATGTAGACCAGGCTGGCCTCGAAGTCACAAAGATCCACCTGCCTCTGCCTCCCAGGAGCTGGGATTAAAGGTGTGTGCCACCATGCCCAGCAATTTTGACTACTTTTAAGTGCCTTCTAGAGATGGAATCATGTAGTTTTTAACCTTCTGTGACTGGCTTTTTTTCACTTAGCATAATGTCTTCAAGGTTTATCCATATTGTGACATGTCCCTCCTCTTTTTAAGGCTGAAAAACATCCACTGTATGATATCCCACATTTTATTAATTCACCAGTGTATACTCAGTTTGCAAGTAGTGCTGTTGTGAACATAGTTTGAAAATGTCTTTTGGGGATCTGGCTTTGAATTCTTGCAGATATATACTCAGAAGTGGGATTTCATGTGAAGAATTGGTGTCTTTACTATCTGGAGTAGTGCAGTCCGTGAACAAGTATGCCTCTGGGTATTCAAGTATTCTTGGATTTCTTCAATTAGTGTCTTAGAAATGTCACTATTCAGAGCTTATACATGTTTTCTTAGATTATATCTAAATAGTCCATGTTTACTTGGGAGAAATTATTAGTGGTGTATTTTTAATGTCAGTTTTATGTGTCCTTTTTTAATTTTGTCTGTGTGCCTGCATGAATTTATGTCCATGTAGGTGGTCTTGTAAGCCAGAGGCTAAGGTCAGGGGATTCCCCTGGAACTGGAGTTACAGGTCGTTGTGACCTGTCTGATGTGAGTCCTTAGAACTGAACCCAGGTCTTCTGCAAGAGCAGTAAGCACTCAACTGCTGAGCCATCTCTTCAGCCTTTTTTAAAAAATTATTATCATATTGTGTATGTGCTTGCCTCTGTGTGTGTGCGTGCCGTGGTATGTCTGTGGGAAGTCATAGGACAACTTTCAGGAATTGGTTCTCTTCTTTCACTAAGCCCAGGGCTTGAATGTAGGTTGTCAGTCTTCACAGCAGAACATTCCTGAGCCAACTCCCCAGCCCTTGTTTTTTGTTTGTTTGTGTTTTATTGGATGTATATAGACTTTTCTTATCATACTTCCTTTAAGAATACACTATTAACTATTTACCTAGCATTGACATTGTAGTAGGTATTAAAATCAACAGAGAATTTAAATAAGAGGATTATATAACTATATGAAAATACACCATTTTATATAAGCAATTTTTGTATCCATGCATTTGGCCATTTGATAGGTAGTCCTGGAACCAATATTCCACCATATAGTAAGACAGATGATAATCATTAGCTCTATCTTTTCTCTTTTGGTGTCTTTCTCTCCTCCTTTTGTTTGTGAGACAGGGTCTCATGTAGTCCAGGATGTCCTGATTCTCCTGCCCCTACCTCCCAAGTGCTGTAGTTAGTAGACATGTACCATCAAACCTGACTCATGGGTCACTTTCAGTCCATAGGAATGCAATTGATTTTTGTGTAATCTCATCTTCTGCAGCCTTGCTGAATCCTAGAAGGCTTTTAAAATATATTTCTTGGGCTGGGGAGATTGCTCAGTGGATAAAGTACTTGCCATGTAAGTGTCAGGACTGT